TTGTGGTGTATCAATTAAAATTGTTAAAATTGTTAAACTCGACGATACTTTTGCATTAATGATTCAAATGTAGACATATATCCGGATCTTAAAATTTCGCATTCATTTTCTTCGCTTTAACTTTTTTTATTACTATCACTATTTTACTAATATTTATTGTTTTATTATATAATTCTTTCTTCCTTTAATATTTTTATTTCAAGCAGATGAAAAAGTCACGATAACTGTGACTAACAAAAAATTATTTTATTATTATTTCGATGACGTGAGTTTTCGCTCTGTAGGTTCTCTTCTATAATAATCTCTCTCTATAATGTAAAATGTTGGACATGATCAAAATTTCATAACGCTTTCGATTCTTTTTCTAAAGTTTATCACACGTATTTTTACTTATTCACTTCTCTTAAAGTCATCACTTTAAAAAGAGAGATTCTCTGTAGACTGTAGATATACAACGAGCTGGAGCTCTTTTATCAGCGAAATGACCGGTCCTCGATATTGTATTCCTGCCGACTCACCGATCGACTCGTTGGTACAACGCGGATTAGCTAAATGCGCCGCAAGCGAACCGCGAAAACTCTCCTCGTTCCTTTTTTTCCCTTTTTTGCCGTGCGAATCGCAGCACGCCACGCGAGGCTGCTGCTCCTTTTTTGCGCGAGTTTCTTTCAGTCCCATTTCGAAGAAAGAAGCTTCCGCTTGAATCGCGCCGTTGTGTTGCGTGACACGCAACGAACTGCACCTACATCTCGTCCTGCGTTTGGGCTGCGTTTGGATTTTTCATTCTTTTCCTCGGCCGAAAAGATCGATATATTAACCTGATGAAATCGGATAATGGCGCGGCATTTCCCACGAGAGAAATCGGTATATCGATCGGTATTCTCTCGATTCCAATTATGGCTGTGTTTTGCATTAATTATTTTACGATCGGTTTCACAGAGACGGTCTGAGTTTGTATTTGTCTGTGCGCATGAACGTCGTATTCCATAGCAACGTGAGTGTAAGATGAAAAAATGTAGGATAGTTACTAAAGCAGACTTTATTAAATTCTAATTTAAAAGTTTGATTCAAGTAAGAACATAAATTTTTTATGTTGTTTTAAATTATGTTTATTCTTTTGACCCAAATTATATCAATAAGATGTAAATGTAATTTAATAAAGTTTATTTCATAAAAAAGTTTCTACTACAATGACAGATACTCAGCAGTTTTAAAAATAATATTATCTTACGATTGCGTGCTTCTTTTGTGGAATAACTCATTTATTAAAAAACACGAGATATAAATTTATTTTCTATTCTTAGATGTAATTCGAATTCGAACGTTTCGAACGTTTCCGAAATCTTCAGTGAAAAAACGTAAATAAGATATTCGGAATTATGAAAATGTATGTACGAATGTGATGATTAATTTTTATGGTTCGTGTGATGAACGAAGACATTGTGGTGGATGAAGATGGTGGTAAATGTTCACAACGCTTGCCAGGCATAATATTAAATATATTAGATGAAATGAGACAATTACATTTAGCAAATGTACAATAGAGATATCTTATCTTTATCCATTTTAAACTACAATGACACTGATGTCTAATGGCATTAGCTTTCACTTTCGTTAACATCTTTCGTTAATATCTTCAATCGATCGATCGATCGATCGATAATTTTTTAGTAATGATGAACAAACTCGAGATATTGATTTTTAATGCGTTTATATAAGCGAGTATACTTGTTTAAACATCATTTGTAACTTAAATAGTCCAATAGTCCAATAGTCGATTCGTGTTTATAATGTAGAATCTTTCTCGTATGTCTTTCTCTAATTACATAAACATTCTAATTCCTAATCATCGATATGAATATTTTATAATTATTTAAAAAGATTTATGTATCAATATCATTTATGTACTAATATCATATTAAGAAGTAAAGAAATAGTAAATGCAATTTATGGAAATATTTTTGGTATATAAAACGATTGCAAAAAATGTCTTTTAAATATTTAAATTAATTTTGAATTGAATTATTAATTACGTTGACTGATCTTGAAATTAAAATAATATAAAATGTTAAAATATGCGTAAATATATAAAGTTTGTGTCGCATGAAAATAACAGTTTAAGAAAGAAAATAAAATTTTGTAATGTGCAATTGTGGCGCTTTATTCTGTGCTGCTCCATTTACTTTTATGTCACGCGCGTAGTTTATAATAAAACCTAATGGAATAATCCCTATGATTGTTTCCTCGAGAACTACGCGATTTAGTAGACTAGAAAAAAAAGATGTTTTAATTGGTAATGCCAGATTTTTTTCTGGCTCGGATTCGAAAAGGGCAATTGCCGCGATATTCAATCCGCCATTCAGCAGACATAATCTTGTCAAACATTGATACGATGCGCGATGTGTCTTACGGAGAGCAGACAATTTAACGAGACTTTTAGACAAAAAGCTCGTTCATTGAATCATAATGTGGCCGGATAATGTGGCGAGAATGAATCATCGATTCGACGAGACGATTTACTTTTCGCGAGAAACGCACACGCTCTAAACGCTTTACGGCCGCGCCAGAAGCGAAATGTCGGAGGAGCCAAATTTTTCATCATCTATCGTCATCTCCAGCATAATAAAGTGATAAAGATGACGGTTATTTGGACAAGTTAGAATCGCTTATCCATTAACCGAATAAAGGTGAGTTAGTCGAAAAAATTTAAGAGAACAAGTTATTACATATGTAACTGGCTTCGACGAACACGAAACTCTGCACTTTAGAAACTCCATTTACACAATTTAAATTCTTCATGGTGGGTCAGCTCGTTTTTGCATAACAACGCTTCGACGCTTTTCAATCTTGGAATGATAGCGCATATATAATGACCCAAACTACAGTGCGGCATTTTCTCAACGATATTCGAAATCGAGGAATTTTCCAAGAGATAAAGCTGCCGTGAAATTTTCGTTATGGATGAAAATATAGATCCTGATCATTCAAAAATGTAAATTCTCGATTCACAACATGACTAATTTTGTTTCATTGTCAAAGTAGCCATATTGAAACTTAACTCTCGAAAGAGTCGTGCGAATTTAATCAAAATTGCGGAAAACGTTAAAATATTTATTATATACATTTTATTATTAAGTATTTTATTATTAATAAATGTTACTTTTAGTTATTATTAAACATAAACAGATACACACTCGCGCACGCGCAAATATTACCTTATACGAAAATAATATGAAGTCGGTTTCAATTATCACTTAAGATTAAAATGACTTTTATTTGCAAATGACTTATATTTGTCAATTAAATATTTAAAAAATTATTAATACTGAAATATTAAAAAATTAACTTTTTGATGAATTCATTGTGAAAACAATTGTCATTAATTCGTCGTTAGTTTTCCTTTTCCGTTTCTTTTAGTTTTATATTAAAAAAAAATCTCGGCGTTTTTTATTCAAGTGAAAAAATGAAGTAAAATTAATGAGAGCGAAATACAATGCATACTATTTGTCGAATTTGCTTTTAAAGTTATCTGGTAAGATTAATATATACTAATATATACTTAAATTAAAACTACAATGTACTTGTTTCTATCCAATGAAATCCGAACCGAATTTTTCGCTGCGCGATGTTTCTAGCCTCTGTCGGACATTGCGCAGAAATCGACCTAATCGATATCTCGTGTGGCGGTAGGAAGAGTCCTGCCATTCTCTACGGGAGACACGTTCGAAGTGTCCTCGAATATTCCTTTAAAGCGGCGGTTTACCTCGAAGGGAAGACGATGTGACAAAAGAACATGGCTGGAGTGCGAGCGTCGAAACATTTTTGAAATTTTACATTTTTGATACGGAAGAAATGAAGAGCGTGTTAGGATGTTTGTCAATTTTGAAAAATTGCGCACGTATGCACGTATGAGAGGTCATCATTAGAGACGGATTTATCCATAACGAATGTAATTGTTGAACCATACGAGCCGAATGTTCGCGCTAATGAATACGAAACGTTTTGCTAATAATACGGCCATGTATTTTGCTCGTTCTGTCACGATAGTATTTAATGATTCGATTAATCGAGCTGCGACAAAGATACACACACACACACATATATATATATATATATATATATATATATATATATAT